CACGCCCCAGCACCCCCCGCCACTGCAACAGGCTCCACCGGCAGCGACAACTTCCTCAGTGGCACACATGATTCCGACACACACGTATCGCAAGCAAAAAGTTGATGATGGTGAGGCCGGTGATGGAGATGATGGTGGCACGTGTGCGGTGTGCTTGGGAGACTTTGAAGAAGGTGAGGAGTTGAGGACGTTGCCGGAGTGCATGCACTGTTTCCACGTGGCATGCATTGACACGTGGCTGAGCAACAACTCGAGTTGCCCCATTTGCCGTAGCAGTGCCACGCCTTCTGTGGAGGTGCTTCACAGCTCTGACCATGAGCACAGCATGGATATCTCTCAGCTTGCTCTACTCCAAAATGGGTTTCTCATGTAAGCAGGGACGGAGCCAGGATTTCAATACTGGGGGTGCCATATAGGGGGTGCCATATAGTAATATACATATGAGTTTATATTAAAAATATGAGTTTATATTAAAAATAGGGGGTGCCATATAGTAATATATATGTATATAAAAAAAAATTAAAATTGTTGGGGGGGCCGTGGCACCCGTAGGTCCCCCCTTGGCTCCGTCCTTGCATGCAACGTTGAAGTATATTTGAGCACGTGAATTATTAATCCATGAAAATGGATTAATATGAATTAGTTGATTATTTTTACTCGGTTTATTCCATTATCATCTGTTTAAAAAACTATTTTATCTTATTTATCTATTTAACATTTTTATTTAAAATTTAGAGTGATAAATAAATAGATTAGATAATTTGTAAAAAAAATCATAATGAATTAAATAAAAATAATTCATTAAAAATGTATATATTTAAAGTAAAAAAATCTATCAAATTCATTCACAATTTTTTCATGAATGAAAAATCAATCTATTTATAAAAATAATCTTTTAAAAATTAAATAATTTATATTTTTAAAAAATCTACTTTTCTTGATTCTTTTATAAATCAATTATAGTTTTATATAATCTTTTAAAATTTATAATTTTTTAATATCAAAATAATCTTTTGAAATTTTAATTTAATAAATATTACATATTATAATCTAATATATTTTAAGAAATAATAGATAAAATTAAATAAATAAATATACTTATTAATAAATTAAATAAATAATAAACAAAATGAATTCATTTGGTAGGCTACTTAAAACACGGAACACCTTTTAGAAGTGAGACTCTCAGGCTTGTTTTAGAGTTTGCACGTATGCGCCGGCCTAGTTCTTTGTTTTTTACATTCAACCGACTCGTAAATATGTAAATACTAAATAGTGCGTTGAATTTGTGAAAAGTGAATAAAAGATGCCTTAAGAGAGTTTCATCTACCTATTCTTTTTTACTATATTGCTGTTAGCGTT